TTGTGGTCACACCAAGTTATTTGAAAAGTTACTTGAAAGTGAAGCTAAACAGATCGCCATAACGATGCAAAAGTTACCATATTATATATTCAAAAAACCAATATACAATTGCCGCTGTTACTAGAGTAAACTGGTGAACACAGCGAGTTACTGGAAACAAAAGTAAGGTGAAATGAAAGTGCTCTGTAAGCAAACTCGTGAATTGACAGATGAGTTTTAGAGTGCGAGCAGTGGTTCAGTTTTCACATTGAATCTTTTGGCTGAACAGATGTTAATTATTTTTCTAGTCAATAACTATTCCGAGAAATGACCTGCCAGTCCACACAAGGGGGGATATTGTGTCAGTATCTGCTGAGATCTTGAATCAATCAATACTAAGGCAATTGGAAAGGTATACTGATTTACAGTAAGCCAATGAATCAGCCATTTTAAACTTAACAATATTTATTTCGCACTAAGAACGCGTTTTACATGAATTTGCTATGTCAACACCGACAAAAGTGACAGAAAAAACCACAAGCGAGCTGAAACAATGCGAGAAGTGGAAAAAATGCTAAACGTGCACAAGTTTTAAGTCTGCATGAAGTGAGAACTTGTGCCCTCACTGATTTTTAATACGATTCTTGATGTTCTCATTTTCGGTGGCCGAGTCTTCTTTTAAGCTTATATCTTCTAATTTAGACCTTTAAAACAACTTATTANGTGTTTCTAAGAAAATCGCCCAAAGTCTATTAAATCTAAAGAAAGTTGTACATCTATTTATATATACAAAGGTTTTTCCAAAATTAGTCCATCTTTTTTGCTGGTCTTTGGTAGCGCTTTACTTGAACAGTCTTCGGCGGTTTATAGTGGAACAACCCACTATCTACATCGCAAGTGAGTCGTGGCAAAGAAAAGTGAAGGCTATACGACAGTTACTTACACGAGGAAATGAAAAACGTTTGGTTCATCTCCGCTTGCCAAAAAATTAGAAAAAATTGTTGTTCAGTCACTGCCATTCTGTGATCTAGTAGAGTAGTATAGGAACAAATGGTAACCTTACCAATGAGCCGGTTTAAGTGATGCTCTTGAACTAGCGGCGTCAGATACCAAAATTATCGAATCGTGATAGCATATCCTCATACTCCTCCTCTTGCAGGAGAGCCCGTGCATCGTCGCGGTTTATTTCGTCGAACCATGGAAACTGAAAGTCGGCTGCACTGAAGTTTCCTTTAAATCTCTTGGCTGTGGTAACTTCGCTGAACACCAGAACGGGTCTTACTAAAGGGATGGTTTTGTTCACCCTTTTACCATACTCATAGCAAACGACGCGAACCGTGGTACCGTTTTTGTAGGCGAACCCGAAATGTAATCCTCCTTCGTCGTCGAGAAAACAAACTAACACTCTTGATGCAATATCTCTTGATAGAATCAACTCTGCTCCACGTTCCAAACCTTTCACATCCATCTTGCCTTCAGACTCGTCGGTAAACTACGTAGCACTCACTGTACACGTGATCGCAGTTGACGAATAACCAAGTAGATTGCCTTCGAAACGGAGTGAACATGTCAAAGAAGATTCATTAGTTCATGTATTTTGTTTTAGTTTTAGTGAGATCCGAGCCGTTTACATTGTGAGCCGAACGCAATTTTGCGAAAAACGTTTTGATTCCTGTATTTTGAGTCCTTGCTGCTCGGTAACTCGAACAGGCAGCACGACAAATAAACAAAGTAACCGCCATTTGCATAACTCAAGAAATAATTGAATTATGTGATATATGTGAAATTATCTAAATGAACGAAGACGGCATATTGCTGCTGGACCGACAGAAGGAGACTTAACCTAGAGTCATTGTTGTAAACAGCATCAGATCACAGCAGAGACAACAAAAACTGACTTAAGGTTGGTTCTCATATAATCGGCCGATTTCAATCCCCTCAGTCACCTGAAAAAGTGGTCTTTCGATCGAGGAGACAAAATTGCAAAATTGCCCAGACGATTGGGGCGATCGCGATCGCTTGAATTGCTCGTGTTCCCAGCGATTGGACACGTATCGGGGCGGAAGGGGGAGGGGGGGGGGTCGTCGTGGCCGATTTTATGAGAACTAATTCCTCGCAGAGAGGCGATGGAAGAATGCCAAATCATAGTGCATTAATATTAGCAGAACTAAACCCAGCCTCACAACCAAAACAGGGCAATTTTACCAAAAGGAGTCCAAGATTACAAGAGTATACAAAATAAGTTTTCGAGCGACTATAAAATTAAGTATATTGGGTTTAACATTTGGAAAGCTATGAAAGGAAACTCTCGAGGCAGAGTAGATACAAGAACAATGTTCGGACGTTCTTTGATAGCTTTATTAAGGCCTCGACCGCGTGCTTTGTTCATGCCAAACGACTGGGCGACTACTAAACCAAGCTTAAAACCTTCACTCAGCACAGGTATGAAAATTTTTCTACTGCAAAGGGGAAAAGTTAGTTTTTGATCGCTCTGAATACAACAGGCCGGAGCACCTTCTTCGGAGAGATACTTTCGGTTATCATGCCGCACGTATGCAGATGATTTAATGATACACTAACCTCAGTGGCTGAAGATTCCTCCCCACCAACACTGCCTTACAAAGGTGCTGCAGATTCTGCTTCCAAGGCTTCTTTCCAGTCGTCAGCCTTTTTTACAGATGACTGAACACTTCAGCTTCACTGAACGGGCCATGATCTTGGGTCTAGTAAGAAAATATAGGTATGTGTTGCATGCAAAAAGCTTACCTTGACTACAATAAAGGTTAAGGGAGAACTGATAAAGGGGGTAAGTTTCTTTAGGGCTGCATCGATGAGGGTCATACACGATAAATTTTTCATCTACAGATTTAATACAGTTAAAGTTGGCCATTATGAAGAGTTTCTGAAGCTGAATTTTCGAGCGTCAGCATTTCTTCTTTCAATCTGACGAAACCTTCATCTTTTGATTCTTCACAACCTAAGCTTACAACTGTTAATTTGGTCGTCCTCTGCAGTCCATTTTTGATATTGCCAAATCCTAAGCTTTCCTTGTGGCTGCATAGTTTATTTTTTCTATATTGATATTCCTGTATATCATTCCAAACTAATTATTCACATTCTAGGTGCTTTTGAAGTGACAAGTACCTGTTAAAGTTACTAAAACCAGAAGAAGGACTTATGAGAACAAAATGAAAGATAAGTGTAAATCTAACGCGTGACGAGTTTGGTAGTTTCGTTGCGTTACACAATTTTAATCACAGTTTTTAAGACACTAACTTGTTCACAGTGAAGCGG